CCCCCCCCCCCCCCCCCCCCCCCGTAGCTTAAAAAACAACTGAAACAAAACTGTTCTCTAGGGCTAAAACTATATATGCCAAGTTTCAGCCTAGAGCATGTTTTTACAGCCAAGCTATAAATCCTCTTAAATAGGGGCTTGTAATGGAAATTATGACAGTCCCTTAACTAAAGCGAACAGCATTACACAGGTGCTGATATAACAACTGGAGATAGTTTGGATTAATAATTAATGAGGGAGATACATTTTTAAATGTATAGCAAGTTTAAACATTTATAAAGGTCTGTTTGATAGGAATCATAGTACTTACAAAAAATTCCTGTTTTAACTGATTTTCTTGTGTTGTTTTCATGGTGTCCGTTGCCTCCTTGTCACTCTCCCAATCCGTTTTGTTCTAAAACCTCCATTACTGTCATTCGGTGGAATGGCTAGTATGGAGTGATCAGTGGATGGGGCATCTGGCACCCTTCCTGCTTAGAGATTGATCTCCAGCAGCTATAAGAGAGCAGCGAGGGAGTCCCCAAGTCTGCTGGTGGACATAGAGTAGCCCTTGTCCATCAATCACAGAAAGCTGAGAGATGATAACTTCCCACCACACTAGCACTCCAAATGCATTTTAAAAAAACAACTACTTTGCACTGATATTTTTGTTTAAATAATTAATTAACGGTTTAGCCTAATAGCTCAGCAGTCACGGCAATGCTGGATTACAGTTCCTAGAGCTCGTTGAAAACATCTGCCGTTTTAGCGGGCAAGAAAACAAGAATTCCAGTTCACAACAAACGTCAAGGTTTCGACTTGCAGTTTCGTTCTGATGTGGAATGAAAATGAGGCCTTTCTCATGAGTTTTTGCCAAACTGCACCATAGAGTTAGGTGATGCCTATGCTTATGGCAGCATGTAAAGTACAGGCATTACACATGTAGCTCCATACAGCAGGGAAAGGCTCTAGAAGCAGGACACTACATTGCTAAAAATGACAGTGCAGACTTGGGAGGCACTGCTGAGGCATGTAAAGAGCCAAGTAGGGTATATACCTTTGAGGTTCAGGCATGTAGAGCACACTATTCGCCTAAGCAGTGCCTCCTGTCTACATTGCTACTTACTGCACTGCCTACTGCTACACTGTGCTAGTTGGCCGTGCAGCGTCTGTACTCTACACACTGCTGTAATGTAGACATAACTCCAGGGTCTGCGTGTCTCTGTCTCTCTCCTGTTGAAATTGTTCTGCTTCATATAAATAATTGTTAGGCCAAGATAAAGACATTGACTCCATTGCCTCATAGTTAGGACATTCACCTGGGATAGGAGAGCCTCAGATTCAAGTCCCTGCTCTGAATAGGGCAGAATAGGGACTTGAACCTGGGTCTTCCATGTCCCAGCTGAGTGCCTTTGTCACTATGCCATTGGCTATTCTGAGGCATGTCTCTCTCTCTTGAGCTGAGAAACCTTTGTGATGAAAGTTTTGTTGAAACAGAGATGCTTCTGTGACCAGCTTCTGTTTCGTAAATCAGCATTTCCCAATAAAAAATATTTTGTGGGAAAATTCCTGACAAGCTCTGCTGACTGTATAACTCTAGATCAGCAATTCTCAAACTGGGTCGGGACCCCAAAGTGGGTTACGACCCTGTTTTAATGGGGTCACCAGGGTTGGCGGTAGACTTGCCAAGGCCAAAGCCGAAGCCTGAGCCCCACCACCTGAGCTTCAGCCCTGGGTGGCAGGGCTCAGGTTACAGGCAGTCTGCCTGGGTCTGAAGCCATTGAGCTTTGGCTTCGCCCCTCTCCACCCCCACCCCAGCCAGGAAGGCGGGACTTGAGTGGCCTCAAGCTTTGTTCCTTGCTGCTGGGGTCATGTTGTAATTTTTGTTGTCAGAAGGGGGACGTGGTGCAATGAAGTTTGAGAAACCCTGCTCTAGATTATCTCCTCAATTGTGTTACAAAGTTGAGAGGAAAATGGTAGGTTCTTAAACAGCATAACTCATATTTAAACTACATAAACACAAAGCAAAGGAGGAAGAATTGAGCTTATCTAAGGAAAAGTGATGACTCTGGAAGACAGGTATATGATATAGTATGGGGCATGTAATCTTAACCAAACCAACCTAAATCACATCCACAGGGATGGAGATACTGGAAATGACATTGGGCAGATCTTGACTTCAGCAGACATATGCACTACTTGGTAGCTGTAGAATCAGGGTGTTTTGTCAGGCCATTGACACTTGGTGAAATTCTGCATTCTTTGTATATGTAATATTTTTACAGTGCAACCAAGTGTAACACCTACATACGTTCTTTGTGTGGACACTACCAACTGTTAAATTGAGAGAGGGTGGAAAACTCTTCATATTTAGGTTTCTTAAAAAAAGAGGGGAGGAAAGAGTATTATTGCAGTAAGCCACTTTGAAGGGAATATTATTTTACATAACCACCATCTGTGGTTGTAAAAATCATTAGCGATTGCCTTGCGGTCTTCCGTTATCACTGAGCAGCTAAAGTTTATGGGATGATAAGGCTTAACTTGTCAGGACTTTCTGCTGAATTGCTTATGGTAATTGCTTTTTCTTTTTATTGTGTAAAGCATTTGTGTATATCCTCTCAAGGATCTAGCTCGTTTCATCCATTTGACTATATTTTTAAAGCCTGCAACAGTTGTTGAAGTTTGGACTTGGTGCATTTGATTTAGAACAGCTCAAAATCATCCAGATTTTGAATTGTTGGTGAAATATTTCCTCAAACTCAATTTTTTTGATGCCAAGACACCAATTGCCTCCCCAGAATGTTTTGGGATTTCCAACCAGCTCTACTTTGGCTTCATCATTGATCCTAACTGGTATCCTTGTTGGCAGACTTGGCAGAGAAACCATGGATTGACTGGGACATGGAGAATGAATAACACTCTCAACCTGGCCCACGTAGAACGTAATTCAGGCACATGGGTGGGACAGTGGGCAGGAGTTTGCATTGCCAGTGGGATGCCAGTTGATGAAAAGAGCGCTTCAGTCATGTGGGCTGTCAAGCCAGCAGTTTATACAGGCACTGAAAAGTGCTTAATAAATAAAGCGTTCTGACATTAGGACTAATTTCTAAAAGCACTTTAAACTAGAGTCAAGTACTGCTGAAATCAGTTTTCCTGTCTGTGCATTGGGGGAGGCTGTGAATAACTTACCTGGAAGGAACCCAGAAAGAATGACTACCATGGTGAAGGGATTAAGACCAAAATGCCTGCTGTAGGAGGTGTTGGGACTAGAAACACAGAGGGCAGGAAATAAATGAAGGGAAGCTGAATAAAACAGAAGACATGGATCACCACAATGTAATAACAATAAAGTCACCAGAATCCGGAGATGGAATAACAGTCTTACAGTAATTTATGTATATTTTAGGGGGTACATTAACTAAACCACTCAAGCTTCACTGGAATCCCTCAGTGAAATTAGACCTTTATACAGTTGGGGAGGACAATTATTGCATATAGTGTAATGGTTTAAAGTAAACGAGAGAATATTTTTATTGCAGAACCTGATCAATATCCTTTTAAATATCTGAATGGTGGTGCATGTTTTCTCTTTTCTGCCTAGGTAAATGGAGTTCAGCTTTATGGAAAATCCCGCCGTGAGGCAGTTTCTTTTCTGAAAGAAGTGCCGCCTCCATTCACTCTGGTTTGTTGTCGGCGCCTGTTCGACGATGGCGGCGAATCCTTTGTGGATGAGCTCAGCACCATCGAGGTTTCGTCTCCGGAGCCAAAGGTAGCGATAAGAGATTGTGTAGCTCAGTTGGACAGAAGTTCACTAACTTTCTAAAGACAGTGTTTTGGCTTCCCTCTTGTTTGCTTCAACCAATTTCAGCTCTTTAAAACAAAAATGTGTGAAATCCATTTGCGTGGATATGTACATCAGCTCTTTGTACCCAGCTGTCTTGCAAAATGGTCTTTACATCTCATCACTGTTTCACATGGAAATGCCAAGCAGGTTAAAAGACATGAGAAACCAGCTCAGTAAGAGGGATTTACTTTGTACTTATGTAGGGTCATCACTTCTAATCTTTAACAAAAGCTCATTGTATTATTTCCTGAGGGTTATCCATGTGCTTGGTGCTGTTGGAAACATGAAAGGTAACATCTATTTCCTGTCCAGTGGTGTTTCCAATCCCAGTAAGATAAACAACACAGCTCTGATATCATAATACAACCAGATGATAGGATTCAGCACTGATTGTTTGTTTGATTTGTCAGAAGTTGTTGATTTATTCAAATCGCTTTGCTATGTCCGATGTCATATGTGGTTTTTCAAACACCTTTCAGAATCCTTTTCTTTCTTCTTCCTTGCATTAATCCAATCAAATGGTTTCCACTCTGTGAATTCTGTCCCTCCAAAGTGTTCTGTTCAGTGCCATATACTTAGGGCCCTACCAAATTCACGGTTGTGAAAAATGCATCATGGAATGTGAAATCTGGTCTCCCCATGAAATCTTGTCTTTTGTGTACTTTTATCCTATACAGATTTCACGGAGGAGACCAGCATATCTCAAACTGGGGGCCCCAGCCCAAAAGGGAGTTTGCAGGAGGGTCACAAGGTTATTGTAAGGGGGTCACAGTATTGCCACCTTTATTTCTGCGTTGCCTTCGGAGCTGGGCAGTTGGAGAGTGGTGGATGCCGGCTGGCCAGCTCTGAAGGCAGTGCCACAGGCAGCAACAGCGCAGAAGTAAAGGTGGCAATACCATATCATGCCACCCTTATTTCTGCACTGCTGCTGGCAGCGGCACTGCCTTTGGAGCTGGGGTCCCAGCCAGCAGCTGCAGAACTTTCTGCAGCCAGGGGAGGTTCCTGGAGATGGATCTGAACCAGCCTTGGGAAGGGCCCCTGCAGGGGAAGAGGAAGTCCTGTCCCTCACCAACCCGGCCAGGACCAGCAGCTGGAGTGTGGCGTATGGTAGGAGCCCTCAGCCAGGGTGCCCTCAGCCCCTTCCCCTCCCTAGTTCCGGGTCCAGCACTCGGGGATTAAAGGGGTCTTGGGGTGTGTGTGTGTGTGTGTGTGTGTGTGTGTGTGTGTGTGTGTGTGTGTGTGTGTGACCACGGAAACCTGCCCCCAACCATGGTGCCCTGGGTGGTTGCCCACCCATAAGGCTGGCCCTGTCGACCCACAAAAGTGTTCTCCAGCTGCCCAGCTCTGAAGACGGCGCCGCCATCCCCAGCAATAGCACAGATGTAAGGGTGGCAACACTGTGACACCCCTCCCCCACTACAATAGCCTTGTGACACCTCCCCCACCATTGCCCCCTTTTGGGTTGCGGGCCCCACTGTTACAACACTGTGAAATTTCAGATTTTAGTATCTGAAACAGTGACATTTATTATTTTTTAAATCCTATGACTGTGAAATTGACCAAAATTGACTGAATTTGGTAGGGCCCTACTTATGCTCTATCACGCCACATGCTAACATGTCTTCCTTTATGCCATCCTATCACTTCTTGGGCTGGCCTTTCTCCTTTTCATTCAGTCTTGGTATATTGGGGTCTCTTACTCAGTTTGCAGGACTGTGGTTTATATGCTCATGCCATTTGAGCTTGTACTCATGTTTTTTGCATTTAGGGGGTGTTACTCTGAGCATATCTCTAGCATACACATTCTTCACCTGGTCTCTCTTGCTTACACCACTTTTCTATCTCCAAATTCGTATTTCTGTGCAACATCATTTGCTCATGTTTCTTCTTTGTTACCCAACACTCAGCAGCATACTTGAAAACTGGATGAACCACAGTTTTACAAACTTCTCCTTTTACACTTACTTGTATCTTCCTTTCACACCCTACACCACTTATCTCTTTCCTTTTGAGCCAAGCATTCATTATCCTCACTCTCTTATTTAATCCTCTATTTTCTCAGGTTCTGGACCCCCAAAAACTTGAAACTGCATTTTCAGTATTGACTGCGTGTCTAGTTTGAAGGATAATTCTACAGTGTTCATATAATTGAAATTACATACCATGTTCTCTTTCTCTGCTTATTTTGCGCCCCGTCTCTCCAACACATCTCTCGTTTTATCAAGATCCTCTTGTAGACTATTTTTCTTAGTGTATAGAATGATATAATCTGCAAACAACATGCACCAAGGTGCTTCCTTCTGTATGTTCCTTGTGGGGTATCCAGGATGAGGTTAAACAAGAAAGGGCTCAATGCTGATCCCTGACACACTCCCACCTTAACCAATAGTTTGTCTGTTTCACCACTAGAAGTTCTGAGTGTTGACCTTGCATCTACATAATGGTTTGAGCAAGCCACACATACAGTTTTGATACCATTTTCTTCCTCATACACCACCAGATGACTTTCCTAGGAGACTCAACATCTTTTTAAAGTATGAACATGAAATCGGGTAGGAAAGTTTGGAGCATTGTGACATTTGTGCTTTTACATATATAAACACAATGTGCCAAGGTAGCTTTTGGTAGTGGATGTCCCAAACTCATTAACTCAATGAGAGCAGGACTTGGCTTTAATTAGTGTAGTAGTGACAGAATAGCCCAAGTCTTTGGGTGGGTTGAAATGAACCATGGTGAGATATACTGGAACTTAAATAGAATACTGTGAATCTGCATGTGAAAATTATATTTCATTAAACAATAACAAATCTAACTGATTTAGTGACATTTTCTCTTTAAGGCTAAAGCACAAAGTGTTCAACAGAGACCCAGGAACACTTGACTAGAAGGTGCATGGATTTTGAGTGATGCTTTGACTTTTTCATGTTCCTAGGCTATGACAGTATTTTAGGTAATGTGTTTTCAGTGAAAGATATTTCATGTTCGCAACTTTAATGTTGTTTACTCAGGCAGGTTACTAAAAACTTCATTGTACTATAAATACAAGGTATGTAAATCACTAAGCTAGCATGCTGACTATGTACATCAAATACATCATTCTTCAGCTTAATAGGTGAGCAGGAGCTTTGAATTATACTAAATCTAAGCCTTGCTCCCATTAGCTGATTAATTCCATCTTGCAAATCAAGTTTTTATGCAAAACTGGGAAAACAGGAGCCTTAGCACTTATTTCCATGGTAGAAGCCTTAAAAATCCCAAATTAAGTGTTGAATCTTGTAACATTTTTACATTATAAAATGTATTTACTCCTGGTTGCCCCTTCTCCCTGATCTAGATTCTGCTTGGTAGGATGGCCTTCCTAGGAGGATAGGTTGGCCAGTACTATGGATATTTTGTTCGATAGTGGAGGCACAAAGAAGAACCATGTGCCATTTAGAAGGGTCCCTTCTATTGCTATAGAACTCCTTCTTCCTTACTACTTGACTTTGCCTTTTAATGAATATTTTTCATCCGTATGACACCAGTTAAGTGCATTTGCCAACAATTGATACTGATTGAATGACACAAAGACTCTCCTGCTCCTTAAATCCACCTCCACAATATTTCTACTTTCTTCTGGTCTAGGAAGCAAGAAGCCATGTCTGTGATTATAGTTTCTTTATCCCTTTGGGCCAGTGGTGATGGTTTGTGATACCTGCATGCTTACACAATGAGCTGAAATAAAATGATTGCTATGTTAATAATGGAAGGTCCTCAAGTTTCCTGATGACAATTTCCATTCAAACTTCGCAGAGATCATGCTACTTGCCTGTGGACTTCCTTTTTTTTCTTTTACATTTGCAATATTGTTTCCCTCTACAACAAATGATGCAATAGCAGTAAAATTTGTAATCTGTATTTTATTTTAGACAACAAGGGATGATTTTTTTTCTCAAAACTTTTGAAATACACTTGTGAAGTCAGTTATTTTTAGAGGGATTTGTGTTTCTCTCTCTTCCAGAGTTCAAATGTTAAAGCAAAAATGAAAAAAAAAAAAAGTTTTTCAAAGTCATGTACTCACATAGTTGCAATTTGGGATTGATTAAGATTCTAATACTTAAAATCCTCAGGACCTTCTGTCTTTTCATGGGCTTTCCCTTATGTGGTGGTTAAATCCTTATGTTGAGAAATTTATTTTTCCTTTTATGCATCTAATGGGATGGCCGAAGTCCATTGACATGTAAAAGGTTAGTGCCATTAGTGTAATTAGAAATAATCCTTAACGTTATATCATTACATCTCAGTATTTGTGTGCAGTGTTAGGCCCGATGGACATGTTTAGCTTTGCTGTTGGGCGTGGTCACAATGGGATGCATAAGTGTTTGCAAGATCAGGACCCTAGTCTGGATGGAATTAGAGAAAAAGGATATATAATATTTCAGATGAGTTCCATCTTGGATGAACCATTAATATAGGAGGAATATTGATTGAATAAACTTCCATCCAGAACTAAAAATAGGGATAGTATTTGCAGCAGATATTTTATTTTTCAGATGAAACCAGAAGTAGACCTTCATCCTGAAGAGGAAGGAGATGGTGAACTAGCATTGTGGTGTCCTGATGTGAAAGTTATTGAACTAGAAAAAGACTATAAAGGTTTAGGATTCAGCATTTTAGATTATCAGGTATGCTATTCCTTGTACTGTATATATCAATAAATACTGAAAATACCTCTGATCCTCTCTTTCCCTTTGTACTGTGCCTCAAAATTTCCTGTAAATATTGTTACATTAATTGTGTTATATATGTATAAAATACTACAGTGACATTGCTCTTGGACTTTGAAATTTGGGAGAAATTATTTGTTCCTTTGAGGCCAAATTTTCCTGTGTTACACTGGACCAACTATGTAAAGTATACGGTAGAACATTGTTTTAACCCAGACTAATTACTGGATATAATAAAGTGCAGTTAATCATCCTCTAACTCCTAACTTGGTGTTTAAAGGCTACGGGTTCTCTTAATCACTGGGAATTACTTTATAAATAATTGAGTAGTGAGAGAGCATTTAGTATCACAACATTTTTTTGCTATTTGTTAAATGTTTTGTCAATTTCCCCCCTCCCTCCTTCAGTTAAAAATACATTTGTGATGAGCCTGTTAGTACAGTGCTTTGCACAGGGGCTCCTAGGTGTCACGGTAATACAAATAAATAACCATTGGTTCTTTAGGCCTGATCCAAAGGCCATTAAAGTCAATGGGAAGACTCCTGTTATGATCAATAGACTTTGGATCAGACCCTTAAAGCACAACTATTCATTTTCCAACTTAAGGGCCCTTGATACCAAGTTTCACCACAATTGACTTCCATGGTGAGGTTATAAAGCCAGAAGTGACAAATGGGGTCAGCATGTGAAACCCAATTTAACTCCTCTGCTAATAAAGTAATAAATTGCTTTAATTTCATGTATTGTATAAGAATAGGGTATAGACATTAAATAATTTTGTCTCTTGACTGCTTTAAATGTTTAGCCCAACGTACTTGGGGCACAGAATTTTTTCATTATTTTTCTTAAAAGGAGCTGAATCTCAGACCCCAATAATAGCTTAAAGCAAATTATTCTTAAAAACAATCTTTTTTTTATGTTTAAAAAAAAAAAAAAAAAAAAAGTTGTGGAACAGATTTCATAGACATGATCCTAAAGCTCCTTAGTAATTAAGAGCCAAAGTCTCTGCCGGTGTAATTGGGTAAAATTCTATTGAATCTGTGCCCACTTACATTAGTAAAGAATTTGGCCCTAAATAAAGATATAAAAAATATCAGAATTTTGAGGTTAGGATGAAGTTTCTAATGTTATCCGTCAATGTGATATTTTAAAACCTCTAAGCACCATACTCCTAAGAATTAAAATTGCTGGATTGCTTTTCGTAATAACATAAACATCTGAGTGCTGCCTAAACGTTGTGGTTGAAGGAAAAAAATGTAGTCTATCATTGCACATAAATGTCAAGTGATATAAAAATCAATTATATTTTATACAATAAGACATGAATCAGGAACAGATTAAAATAAAAATACTTGGGGTATTATGCAAAACCATTAATTCCATATTTTGCCAGTGTGATTTAAGATTACTGAAAGTAGATCCTGTTAGTCATTTTTGCTGATACGTGTTGTGTTACAGTGCCAGCTTTTCGGTAGAGTCCCTGGGACTCTACAAAGCAGCAATACACTGATTTGCTTTCAAGTTCTCATATAATCAGAATTAATGAAGGCTTTAATAACAGGCTTTTTATTTACTTATTCACAAATGTAAATACATTAGTAATATTGGGATCCTTGCAGATTTAAATACTTTCAGATCAATATTAAATAAACCGTAATCCACTTAATCTCAGCTCTATAATTACAAGATATTGTGCTATTTTTCTGTTCGGGATTGCCTTGTAAAACTGTGTTGCTCTTCCCAGCACATGATGAGTTCACTCTAAGGGCTGGTCCATACTAACCCCCCAGTTCGAACTAAGATACGCAACTTCAGCTACGTGAATAACGTAGCTGAAGTCGAAGTACCTTAGTTCGAACTACAAAGTACTTACCGCGGGTCCACACGCGGCAGGCAGGCTCCCCCGTCGACTCCGTACTCCTCTCGCGGAGCAGGAGTACCGGCGTCGACGGCGGGCACTTCCGGGATCGATTTATCGCGTCTAGACAAGACACGATAAATCGATCCCAGAAGATCGATTGCTTACCGCCAAACCCGGAGGTAAGTATAGATGTACCCTGAGAGAGAGAGCGCACTTCATTTAAAAAACAATTAATAGTCCTCAGTCATGGAAAGAAGTGATCTGAGTTTGCCTACTGGAAAACTGTCCAGAACTCTTGCATGGGGTGATTTTGAAAAGCACAAATGAGGGATGCACAACTCTCACTGAAAATCAATGGAAACTGGGTGCCTAAAATCCCATTTCTGCCTTTAAACTCCCCCCTCCTAAGTTAATACTGCTTTAAAAATGTAAGTGTCCAGCCCCATGTAGTTTGCTTCTAAAGCTTTATTGAGAAAAAATTCAAGCTTTACAATGGCAAATATACTGCTTACAAGATGTTTTCACTGTTTATACGTAAAGTGCATAAATAGTGTCCATTTAGGTGACCAGTAACTTAATTTTAAAGTTTGGTATTTGTGAGATAATTGAGTTATAACATCTCTTGCTGTGAGTGATTTAGATGATAAATCCAAATGAGTGAAACTCATTGTTTGCAAGGCAGAGGAAAGATGATTTTGTGGAAGAACAAAGACCATATCTGTGACTTTCAGTGTTTCAGGTATTAAACTGTAAGCTTCTAATGTATAGGCATATTGGTCCAGAAGTCTGTGATAGTGGCTGTTACCAGACGCTTTAGGAAAGGTGCAAGAAAACCCTGTTGTAATCATTTATGGAACTACCTGCCTTTTGGGATGGGTGGTTGGTGGTGGTGGTGGTGGGGGGGGTGTTCTTCTGCCTCTCATCCTTGAATGGCTGGTGTATACTCTGAAGCAAGAGAGTTTATTCCTCCATCTTAATTTTTGTTATCCTATCTATCTGTTATGTTCCTGGCATACACATAGAGAAGTTTGTTTAAAAACATAAAATACTTTTGCTGAAAGGTTGCAACATAACACTATTTCTTAGAATTCAGAATGATAACGCACAAGAACCCAAAAACAGAGATAAAGCAGGCTCACCATATCTTACTCTAGGCAGGCTCTCTGCAGACTGACTTCTGAAAGACCCTGATTGCATGCTTCCCTACATAGCCTCCTAACCTGCAAGCAGGACCAGGGAAACCTTTAGGATTTAAAGTGACAGCTTGTAATTTTTACACTGTTTTCAGTACAGCACGCTATCTGATATAACTGTGAGGGTATGCCTACACAGCAAAGAAAAACCCGTGGCTGGCCTGTGCCTGCCGACTTGGGCTCACAGGGCTTCGGTTACGGAGGCTGTTTCATTGCTCTATGATCCTGCAGGGTGGAAGTCTACACTGCAATGAAACAGCCCCCGCAGTGAGCCTGGAGTCAGCTGGCACAGGCCAGCTGCGGGTTTTTCTTTGCTGTGTAGACAGACTCTGAGTGTTCTCATTATCCATATAAATGTTTAATCCTACATTGAATCCTATTAAACTATTGTCCTGAAAGATCTGTTGTGTCCTAGTGTAAGTTTTCTGATACTTCATAGTACAAGCCCATTTGTGCTTCCGAAAAGCAATACTAATAAAAACTCTTAGCGATGGAGAATAGGAATTGAGAACGGAGAGAGTGAAATTATTACTCTGGCATATTAATTTTTAATGGACTATCCTTCTCATGATGTTACATCTATAAAATAAATAAGCGTATCCCAAGTGATGTAAAAGATATTCCGAGAAATGTATAAATGTAATGTCGGCTAATTTATACTTAACTTACATAACTTTAATTACAAATTAACTATACTGATTGAGAGTGACCAATAATATTTCTACCTTTTCCCTACATTTTGTTTGTTTTCCTTTTTTGTGTTAGTAACTTAAGAACTTGAAATCAGATTTTTTTCTATTTACAGGCTCCTCATGGAAGGATCTATTGCTGAAACATATGGTATCACTACACAAAGAGTGGGGCGTAGCCTTTGTGCTACCATAGAACATTTGTCTGTAAATTTTAAGCTTGGGATTTTCAGCTTTGCATGGTCATTTAAACTTAATAGATCTATTTGCATTCACCAGATCTACTAAATTGCAATGAGAAGTTTTAAAACTACTAAGCTTAACCTTGCAGGCAAGATGCCATGCTGTAGAAACAGGTGATCCCATGATGGAGCCCCTAAAATTGTGTGATATGTTTCACTGGATTCCTCCCTGAGGGGGTCTGTTTATTTTAAATAACAGCCTCCCGCTCAAGACTTGGTTGCTTAAAATGAATAATAGTGCTGATGTTGTAAAAATACAATGTGGTGAGATTAGTCAGATCTCTTAATTTAACCCTGGTCATTCTTGGGGACAATTTGGATGGGATACCTCTGAAGGAAAATCCCAGGTACAGTGGTACGTGATGATGGAGATTCTACAAGCAGTATGCCTTCTGAGTTGACTGTGAACCTATATCTCAGTGGAGTCATGAGGAGCATTGTGTGTTACTGAAGATTCCATCTTAAAACACAAGTCCTGTCCACTTTCTGGTTATTAAGGAAGGCGTGGTTTAAAGTTTAGTATCCTGGCCAATTTCTAGGTTGAGCAATATTCTTTATCTCCTTTAATTTTCCCCATAATTTCACTTGGAGAAGTTACTCTGCTCCATCTCCTAACTAACTTTTATGTAGCCTTGCTGACATGTTCAGTGGTAACTACATTGTGGTGGTGGGTGAGTGATCCTGATGTTTAATCTGTAAAGTGCTTTGGGCTTGTTTAGGATATAAGGTGCTGTACATGAACATTGTTCTCTGCCAGTAGGGGTGAAAGTTTTGCTTATTAACAACTTTGACTATCACAAAGAAGGGGTGGAGGTTTGGTTCAACCAGAGGACTAAACCACCCAACCAGCCAGAGGAAATATAAATGTTTGATGAATAGCCACCATTGCTAGTAGTAGTGATACTTTTTTTTTTTTTTTTCCTTTTTAAGGAAAAGGCAAGAGAAAATGATGCTTCAATCGGAAAAATGGGAA